TCTTGGTCTCTCTCTCTCTCTCTCTCTCTCTCTCTCTCTCTCTCTCTGTCTATCTATTATTCTCTTATCCTAACTGCTTTACTCTTTGTCTCTCTATCTCTCCTTATTTCTCTTTATATCTTCTCTTGGCGTTATGAGGTACACAAAAGCTTCGTTATATGAGCTTTTCCTGCTTAGTGGTTGCCACGTAATCGTTTGACGATTTTCTCATTAACTCTCATCAATTTTTTTGAATTTATTTTTCTGAAACAAAGTTTTCGAAATCTTTTGTTTCAACTTTCTCTCATAGGATTTACCTCCGTCTTAGTGGTTTCTGATGTTATTTTGCATCATTTTCGTTTACATTGGCTTAGCATATTGCTGTCTCGTCACGGAAAAAAAGTTATATATATTTTATTAGATTCATCTAGAGATATGCTTGTTATTCAAATATCATTATTTGAACTTCTTTGTTTCCATGTGTTTTTCGTATTTCTCTCACCTTACATCCTATTCTTCCTGCAAAGGGCATATGGCATTTTTTTGTCAACTCTATCTCCCTATCTACCTTTTTCTCCCTCCGTCTTCATCTATCTCATATACTATTCATTGCTTACTCGCTACTCTCTCTCTTAATCGTAAATTACCTTTCTTTGTTCCTCAATTAGGTTGTCTTTCTTTATCCGTCTCGCTAATTCATCTGTCGCTATCCTGTTATCCTTCGTATGGCTTGGCAGTCCAAATAAGGTATCTAGCATTTGCCATATGGCTTTTACTCATCACCATGCCAACTTGCTTAGCCTCTCAACAGTTTTGAAAATAGAGCGACATATTTGGTCTTCACATTTCTTCAACAAACAAATTTTTTTTCATTTCGAACTCTCGACTTTTCTTTTGCTATGTTGATAGAAAAAAATGGAATCTGACTCGTAATTGATCGTTTGTTCCATTTATGTACATTGGCTCATCTTTCTCTTAATAAACGCCGTATATAGAGATGAAAAGAAGAATATTGTACGGAGGTGGAATATCGAAGATTGTAAGAGGAAGAGAGAAAGAAAGAAAGCTCTTCACCTTTGCTCTGTAAGATGTCTTGTCAGCATTATTCACTGTTGTTTTCTGAAACCTATACTCTTGAAAGCTCACTTGAACATCTTTTTTTTTCCTTATCATCTTAAGTATTTTAATTATGTTTTCGAATCATCCTGTTTGAGTGCTTGAAATCTTCCGATGCTATGATGATCCATATCTTTCCATGAGTTATTCCTGTCACACAGTTGCATTTTCTTTTTAGTTAAGTGTTCCCTATTTTCCCTTTTCTCTCTCTCTCTCTCTCTCTCTCTCTCTCTCTCTCTCTCTCTCTCTCTTTCCCTCTTTCTCTCTCTTTCTATCTCGCTCAGTCTTTTTTTCGTATAAAGTGAAGATTCTATTGAGGTATTGGTCAAGAAATAACCTTATTGTATAGCTATTATATACGGTTCACCTACCTTGTCTTTCCTTGTTTTTTTTTCCTTTCTTTTCTGACCTCTAAGCCATAAGGTCATGTCATGTGGAAAGAAAAAAGCCCTGCTTGACCATAACCTAACCTTAATTATTATCTTTCATTCATATATATATGCAAATTGTTTTCTCATTTCATAAACGAAAAGGAAGTTTGAGACTCGTTCGGCAAGCAAAACCATTTCTTGATACACATTTACTATTCAACGTTTCTCACTGTTTTTTTGAATATTTCTTCTGAATTCGTGTTACTTTCGTTAATTCGGAAAGTGTTTTTTGTTTCATGAGGAAGATTCTCTCTCTCTCTCTCAATCCATTCCCCTCTTTCTCTCTCTTTTTCTCTTTCTGTCTCATTCTCTCTCTATATTCTTCCTAATTTCTGCATTACTGTTGAATCATCTACGAAATGGTTCATTCCTTCTGACATCCTTCTACCATTGATTACTTAATCTTTTAATTTAGATTTAACTATTATTATTGCTAACTATATAAGTTGTTAGTTACAATTGTCTCTCCAACTAGTTTATCTCTCATTTTGTTCATTTCTTTCTTAACTGTTTTAGTTTATTTTCTGGTTTCCTATTAACTATTCTTAACTTATATTATTAGTTGTATTAACTATACTTTCCTCGTTTTTCTTTTTTTTATTCAAATCAAAAAAAGAAAAAAACGAAATAAGATGTGCTTCTTGAACATCAGACACTATCGTACAGTTGAATTTCTATTGCAAATTGCTCTCCAGCAATCGTTCTTCTATTATTCCATTTTACTATCTCTTCCGATCGCTTTTTTTCTGACAGATTATTCATCGTAACTTTTATATATTCACAACATAAATACATATATCTTTCTGCTATCTAACAGTCTTCTGAACTCCAACATCAGCTGTTCGAACACTTTTTGAATTTCCCTCCTAATCTCTCTTTCTAATAATGTGTATGCATGTGTATGTGAATGTGTGTGTGTGTCTCTTTCAAGGACATAAACATTCTCCTCACATTTTTTGAGAAAAAAATCCTTCAGTGGACATTGTTGAAAAAGGCAAAAAACCTTTAATCAATGTGTCCAAATGGTTGGACAGTGCCTAATTTTCCTTTTTATTCGCCTGATGTTCGCTTGAACGGAATGTATGAATCTATTCAAATGTCTTTTTCACATCTTCCTTTACATAATATCATTTTCAAATAGTCATTTTTTGATTTTTCTACTACATTTTGTGTTTTGCTGAACACAGCGTTGTTGTGTGACTTGTCTATATAGCTTCCTACCTCTGAGATTCATTTCACTTGTTGCTTCAAATTTTTTTTAACCAATTACGTTCATTCGCTCTAATCCTCTCAAGATTTTTCTTCATTGTCGGCTTGTCCTTGTAAAGATTTTTTCTTCCTAAATTACCCGTTGCTATTTGAAAGAAAGAAGGGAAGGAAAACGACTGTCAATTAAGAAAATAACCTCATCCTTTGTACTTGCCCGATCCATTCTATTGAGCTTTCAGGAATATTTTGTCAAATACATTTCTGTTTCTGCTTCATTAGTGAGATGGTTGTCGATGGAAGTTTTTATTTCTGAATACGGCAACGAATATGTAGAAGCAACTAGTCATATTTGCCTTTTCCAATCCAAAAACTTGTCGAATATTAAGAGAGTTTTTGTTCATCGCTTCCATATTCTTTCCTTTTTCTTAACTTCAATACCATCTGGGTCAGGCGAAGATTTCAATTCATACATCCACTTTGTTATTTTTATAAATATGAGCTTTTATCTCACAAATCTGGCAAGTTTCTATTTGTGAATGTCCTGCAGTATAAACAAGAAAACAAGCTGAAAATCCAGCCTTGTTTACCAGCATTTTCATTAGAATAAGGTGTGTTCGTTCCCTCTATCTCTCTCTCTCCCTATAAGACTGTCTATTCTTCACTCTTCACTCTTCTAATGACCTTTATTCATAATAATCTGTATTATTATAATTGAAAAGTAGCTGAAGCACTTAACTCATATGATTGCTTCCGATGATGTTTCAACTGAAAAACGAAAACGTTTTGTCAATGAACCGGATGTTATATCATGCTTCAGGAAGAAGTTGTTGTGGAAAAAGTGAAGAACTCTTGAGATATTTCAACAAGACGTTCACTTTCTTCATCATCTTTTTTCTGACTCAAAAGATAACATATTGGCTAAGGTGAAGTGTGATGATGAGACGATCTGCTTCAAACATGATGTAGTCCTTAGCCCTTAATTTATTCATCAAATCTTTTTATGATTTGAGTATTCAATTCATGAGCATCTTATAGACCTGTTTTCCCAATGAAAATGCCATTATACATAACGATACGATTGAAATGAATTGTATTCTGAAAACGTTGATGATAGAAAGTTTTGGACTGACAGACACAAAAAAAAGATGAAGGAAGAGAAGCTTAGGCGCCAATTCCTCATGTTTGCGATGCCCAGCTACGTCCACACAAACAAATAGTCTTAGACGACAATCATCTGAAGACATGAGGAACAAGCATATGCTCCATCTTCTCTCCTGATGTATTTGTAACCATTATTGCCCATCCTCTCTGTATCATTGCTTTTCATCTACTTCATCTCTCCCGGTTTTCCCTATACTTCACCCAGCTAGTTCTATCTTTTTAAAAAGCTGAATAGACATATGTAAATTGGAAGGTGTTAGTCCTTGATATGCCTTGCTGTCCCTTCATTCATTCATCATATGTCGCCCATTGAACTCTTCAAACAATATTTTTTGACAATTTCACAGAAGAAAACAAGGATATATATTGAAAGAGATTCTCTTTCTTCCTCAAACATCTACCTTATCTACATATATATATCTTCTTTGCCTTAATAAGCTTTTTCTCAGCTTCACTTATGTCTGTTTGCTTCTTCTGTTCATCATAATTGATCTGCGATTGAACAAGCTTTTGGCCACTTGCCATATCTTGTCAATTTATCATTTTTTTTCCTTTCATCACTCATCTTTCATATATTGTTCCTTTTCATAGTTTTCTATTGAAAAATTTCCATTTCCTTCCATATATCTCTCTCTCTCTCTCTCTCACAGTTGGACAGGAAAAAGCCTGTTAAGCGGTGAGAATAAGAAGTGATTTTCCTTTTTCTTAACTGATTAACAAGATGACGGAAAAGCAAACCGCTTCCGTCTTCTTCTTCGACTTGTTTTTCAATATTTTTTTTCATATTTTTTGAAATTCAGTTAAGCTGAAACAACAACAAATGACTGAAGAATCGTTGATTGAAACTAATTTTCTCTTCTTCTTCTCTACTTTTTCTGCCATTTTCTTCCATTTTTCGGATATTACTCCTTTTATCGCTGAGAGTTAGCAAGTTTCTGACTATCTTTTTGGTCTTTTTCGGTTTTTCAAAATATTTTCTTGTTTTCCGACAATCTCTTTTTCCTTTTTTTCTATAATTTTGCCATTTTATCCCTAATTATATATCTTTTTTTTTCTATCTTTTATCAATAACTTTTACAGAGCGTTGCTGCGACCGTTACGACAATGGCCCCCTCCGGTGGAGGAAATAAACGGGCTGATGCTATATTCGAAGGATTATCCAAAGGATTCAAGTAAGCATATTTGAATTTGAATCATCATTGCTTATGAAACATATTAGATCGTTCATACTCTATTATTCTTCTGAATTACGACGACTTCGTCAGGAGTTTGAAGATGCTGATGATGAACGCCGAGCCGAAATTCAAGACGTATGTTGTAGACTGTTAGCTGTTTGAACTAAACTGTTTTTTTGCAGGAACAAGTTCTAGCCGAAGAAAATTTACTTTTATATGAGTCACATAATCAACGTTTAACGAAAATATTTGAGAAATATCGTTCTGGACATTATGATTCTCTTAAAGGTGAGCCATATGATATAAGTATAAATATACATTCTGTCATAATTGTAAGAATCACAGAAAATAATTCTGTTCTCCTCGCCCTCAGCATTTCGACTTCATTTTTCATTTGCTGCTTCGTCGCTTTCTTTTAATCTTTTTGCTTTGTTTTGCTTTATAATACCATTTGTCATCCTTTTGTCTTTAACCTTAGCCGAACAAGAAAAACACACACACATACACACACATACCCTCAATGGATTGAGTTTCATCTCTGACCGATTCCTTGAAATTTCATTTCTTCTTCACTTAATTAGCATATTCTTCTTTTTGTGATGCAAAACAACTCACGTACAGTTCACGTGTACTCTATTGCGCATTTTTTTCTGCTGACAGTGACCTCATCGGTTGCATTAACCATCTTCTTTCAATCTTTCTTCATTTCTTTTATTTTGAGGTTATTTTTTTCCAAAAACTCTTTGAACATTATGAAAGGAATTGACTGTATTGTACTCTTTACAATTCAATCAGTCCAACTTCCAAGTGAAACCTCAATTACTCTTATTATTTAAAAAAAAGTTTTCTTTCTTAGAATATTATAATTATTTATACGAATTTGTTTCAGCGCGCTCTTCATCCATAACCGATCTCAGAGCAGCACTTGGAGGGAGAAGTACTGATCGAGGTACCTCACCTATCGACATGGAGCTCCAAAGTATGATGGGAAGAATTGTTGTTGAAGTGAAAGGTGAGTAGAATCATTCCCACAGTGTTCAAAGAAATATCTATTATAGCCATTGCTGGCTTTGCCCGTATGTCTCCAGGAGACGTTTTCGAAGTTCAAATCCGACACGGAGCTCAAAAATGGAAAACAAGGTAATTCAAGTTTTTCATTTTCTTATTATTACATTATTCTTATGCAGAGGCAAGACGCAAGCAGATCGTTCACAAAAATGGGAAAAGTTCCAAGCAACTTTCCAGTGTTTACCTGAATGCACCATTGACGTTAAAGTATTACCAAACTGAAAATATGTTTCAATGAATTTCAATTAAGGTTTCTGAATGCACTTTCTTCAAAACGAAAACGTTGAGTGAACGTGCTTTTGAGCCATGTGAACTGTTCTCTTCACAACCACAACTCGTGACAATGAATTTAAATAGTCTCGGTACTATAAAATTACAATTAATCGTCACCTGGGTGTAAGAATAGCTCTGAATTTTTCTTCCAATAATCTTATTGTTATTCAGACCACTTCTGTCTTCTAAAACGATCTCGAGGCCTTTAGAGCCAAAAATGGACACAATGAGTTCCATTGAAAAAAAGCCGAGAGTTGTTTTGCGTGAGAAGAAACGTGGATCAGCTGCTCGAGTTGCCATGAAGGAACAATGGAGATCTTCCACTAACTTATTAGATTGTATTTATCATGATGTAAGCAAAACAATTCCAACTGTAGAAGCCGTAAGTTTTCATATACTATTATCAGACTCACAATAAACTTATAGATGTCAACACTTGATTTACGGAAGGGCCGTGGACATCCATCGCCTGTAGTCAATAACAGAAGAAGCATTAGTTTAGCACATCTCAGTGCTGCTCCTAATGATAGCCCAGACAGTATGAGAGCTTTCAACAAAACGTTTGTTTTTACTGTTTAAATGCAATGCTCATCTCGAAATTTTAGATTTGCCGGTATGAGTGGTGGAGACAGTGGAGCTGCTTCTGAAACAAGTTCTGAAAAATCAGCTGTCGTTATGGAGTTAATGGAAGCAATTGACGATATAATGCCAATGGCTGACAGAATAGCTTCGGAAATGTATCCTGAATTACAGGCCCTTGTTGATTACTTGAAACAATGGCACAAAGTTCTTCAGGTGCTTTCATTTCGCTGTTTTCAGCAATTTACTCAGTTTATTTTCAGCGTCGAAGAAATCATTCTCATCATTCACCTGTTCGTAGTGGAACAGCTCTCACTACTAGCACTGTTAGTGATGAGTTGGATGATAATGTCCTCATATCAGGCGATGGACAGTATGTTTCATTAAATCTGATTAAAATTAATTCCTTGTACTTCTTACAGTTCTGAGAATGACAGTGGTATAGATTCGCTGCGACAACACTATTCTCCATATGTCAGTGAAGGAACACGAAAGAAATATGGGGAGAGTGGGGGAAGAAAAGAAGGACGTCGTTTCCGACAGGTTTGCTCTGCTCGCTCATAGAAAACGTTATGAACTATGCTAATTCAGTTGAAAGATCGTAGAAAGTCACTGGGCGCTTTGATTGATCCTAATAATATTGAGCAAATGTATTTGGATTCTGATCGTTTCTGGGAAAGCCACGAGGAAGACTACAGGAGTGGCGCCACAGGAAACTCTGAGATTGATTCTTGCCTCCGATATCATTTGAATCGAGTTCACAATTGCCTGAAGGTATGGGAAAATCTGTCTGTCTCTTAATTCTTTTTGTAAAGACATTAGACGAAATCGGAATGAATTGTCCTCTTGTTTACAAGTCAACGGAGATGCTCAAGCGACTAGAGATTGAAACTGTTACCTTAGATGATCTTCTAAGGCTTGTCGCTATGCTCCCAGCATTGCCCAATGTTTCCAACAGTATGTTTTTTCATGAAATTTCATTTCTCACTTTTGACTTGCAGTTCTGAGCGAAATCGGAGCCGATTCTGAGTTACAACAAATTTGGCTTGGCACATGTTATCCTTTGAATGCTATGCTAATGGTGCCTCGGGATGAACTTAGAACTCAAATACGTTTAAACATATCACATATTGTTGAGAAAAACTATCCTCATCTTGTCAACCGAGGTAGAAGACTTAAATGCTGTCTCGATTTTTTCATGATAATTTTTCAGTGGCTGATTCAATTTTACGTTTAATTGCTGACTGTGTGCAAGACTCAACCCAGCAAGTCACAATATTCCATTTCATCGGAATTTTCAAAGGACGTCATTTTGCTTCATATATTGAGAATTTGAGTCATGATGGTAAGTAATCATGATCATGAATGAGCAAATCGAAATGCTTTCAGCTTACATGGTTTCTGAGTTGGAAAGATTACAACCATCTAAAGTAATACACGTCGTTGAACGGTTATCAAATGTTCCCGTTGTGCCACCTTTAGAAACATTGAAACATCTAGGAATGCTTTTAATACATAATGAACCCTTGAATCGTACAACTACTGGTGAGAGAGTATAAACAAACATGTTTTCTATATTTATCTCATTTAAGAAAGTTACTTGAGATCTGCTCGTGGTCATTTGATGTCAGACTTGTTATCATCTTATCTTTGCTTGCTGGAAGCTGAAGAAGTACCTGCTAGGATAGGAGCTTTGCGATCATTACAAGTTCTGAATGTACTAGTTGAATTTTAAAATACTTTAGTTACGAACCATTTTTTCAGAACCCAAGAATAGCGAAGCAAGTTAGTCATCTTGCCGAGAACGATTCATCAGTAGAAGTACGTCTTGAAGCTTCTCAGCTTTTGGCATATTTGTCACCCCAATTAACTTCCAAGCCAAACGGAATGAATTATCCATCTTATTCCAAACAATCAAAGAACTCAGTTAATACCAACTTATCTCAAGACTTGACAGAAGAAACGACAAGAATTTAATTTTTTTTCCATTGATCGTCTATTCAATTCAAAATCTTAGCCTGAATCCTTTCTGTATTTCGAAATTCTTTGTATGTAGTGTTGATATTTAAGCAAAACCTTCAGACCGGCTCAAAATCGTTGTGATATTTGTTTTTTTAATTTGTAATATTAAACTCACCGTATGTATAAAACCCAGATCGGGTCTATATTGTTTATGTTTTGAAAATAATAGAGATGTTTTAGATAATCCTTATAGGAAATAAAAAGTTTAATATCAAACCTTTTCTTGCACTGGTGCTTTATGATGATAGATAAAGAAAACAGAACTCTAGTTCATTTAGTTCTAACATTGGACCCATATGACATACGATGCTGCTGCGAAGGTCATTCTCGTTTCAATGTGACAGACGACTTCTATGAAGAAAACAAACCCAGCTCGCTGATCATCGTTGATGGATAAAAAAACTCTGAGAAGTTAATCAAAAATTTGATTTATTTTTTATAAAAATTAAATAATGAACGTGTGGGATGTTTACTGGTTAATTTATATTCTGTGGTCAGATCCCGTGCTTCGAACATGGTTCATAGCGTTCTGCAATATGATCATGATCGAAGGTATGAGAAAGTTCATAAAAACTATAATGAAAAAAGATATTATTTTTTTTATATTTATTCCACTCTATTTCAGGACGTATAAGATTTATAGCTTTCAGAGAACATTGAGCAACTAACTGGAGTGTACCTGATTTCGTCACGACTAAGTATTCAATAGGTAATTGGTTTAACATGCACAACCGATAACTATTGCTGCGAACACTGAGTGAAAAATGTTGCCCCAGGAAGTCTGTGATATCGATGTTCTCATATATCCTACCACTTTGAAATTTTTTTTTTAACTTACAACGCTAGACTTTGAGAATGTTTAATCTGATCTATGTAATCGTAATCTCTCCGGACATGTATTCAAATTTTAATCATGAAAAAGCTTGTGAATTTCCCGGAACTATTAACAATAATCTTAGTCTTGAGTTAATGTGAAATCATTAACAATTTATTGTTCCGTCAGATACCAAACACATTTCTCTCGCATTGAGCATTGAATGATTTAATTTATAAAACAAAAATAAATTCGAAAGTACGAAAACAGATAAATTTGAAAATCATATTTAATACATGTACAAAGGTGCATTACATTGAGCTCTCCTTTTTTCTTCTCATTCTCTTCTATCACGATGGGATCATATCTACTTGTTTTTATCATCATGTTTCTTGTGTATGTATGTGTGCGTGTAGAGAGAGAGAGAGAGAGAGTGAGAGAGAGAGTTGTTTGATGCGCTTTTTCCCTTTAAAACTAAAATGCGTGATCAGATGTTTCTTTACTTTGTTTTTTTCATACAAAAGGTAGAATTAACATTATAGAAGTTGGACACGATTTTCGATTTCATTCAGAAAGAATGTTCGGTAGTCAAGGAACGTTAGGTATTCGCTTGCTTACGAATTTGATTATTTACTCATTTTTTCTAGCAGATCATTTTGACAATCTGTTACATACTGATGGCTATATAACTTGCTTGAGAGACGATAATGTATATGATTTTTATTTTCTTATTGTTCATTCCATCGAACTCATCACTGTGGTTTATCAAGTTTTCACCATCCCTCTAATGCTACGGGGCTTTTCTATCAGTATTCATAAGAATTTGAAGCTATTACTTCTCATATCACAAATTCAATATTATATATATCTTCCAACTCGGTTGCTGATGCTCATTAAATTTCTAGGATGGATTAGTAAGTTTCTAATAGAGTTATGCTTCAACTGAATCTGTCCGCTAAGGCTTATCAATGAGAGACTGGCCATATATTATTTGTCATATATTTCATCGTTACACTGTTTATTTTCATGTTTGGGGGTAACTCAAAAGTTTTATACTATTGATACGATTTGAATAGAACTCTTGGCTTGATGCTAGAACGTTGTGCAGCAAGTTATTTTTTAATGGATTATGAGAAGAAAAATAGATATTGGGTCTTTTTTTTATCGTATTCTTTAAGTCATTACTTATCATTACTTAGTATTACTTTATATATAACTAGTAAACAATAATTATCATTTTATATATTCAATAGTTCCATTCAGGAGTTGTGAAATGGTCAATATCACTTGGAATTGCCTGTACCACCAACATTGCTTCCTCATTGGTAATACTGTATCCGTTTTCTTCATCTGTGATCTTTTTTCTTTCCACAATTTAAGATGTTGTATGCTATTCTGAAATGGAATCAAAAAGAGCTGGCTTCTACATCACAAAGCACATTTTCTTATGATCTCAGTAAACGATACCAGTTGAAAGAGAACGTTTTCTCGACTAATGTCAGGTTTTCATCATCATCCCCTGTAATTATATTTTTGAAGGTACTTCTTACTTTTACAACAACTTTGGCTATCACAAATTTTGTTTTAATTCCTCTTCTCATTATTGTTAAATTGGGATTTGGGGAAATCATCGGAATGTGTGGCACTATCCTACACTTTGAAATATTCAGTCTGTGGAATCAAATGTGAGTTGTTAGTAACCAAGGCAAAGTAAACGGTTTGCAGTATCTTCTCATTGATTCCTTTCCTCAATCTCCTGATACATCCTATTTTTCGAACTGCTGTAAGAGAACATCCAATAATCAGTAAGGAGAAAATTTATTCATGTTTCGCGTACAACCATGGTTTCAGAAAAATACTTTTATAAGAAACATGACAACGAGAACAACATCAAGAAAGAGACGAGAATATACTTCGATGGTTTGCGTAACCAGTGGGATAACTCTTACTCAGTGAAAACAACAAGCAATGTTGAACAGACTGCTAACTATAAACCATCAAGAAAGGAGAAATATCCAAAACAATAGATTCAAATATTTATTGAATTTAGCTAGTTCTTTGTAACACTTGTTCGGTATGAATTAGATCCTTGGAGCTCGATAATACTGTAAAATTGGTAGATACTTATCCAGTTTCTCTGAGATCTCATATTAGTACAAAAAGGAATGTGGAAGTAAATTCGTTATTCTCGCTCATTTCATTTGTTTTTAACTTCCCTGAACATAAACACAAACAATACGAAGGCTCATAATCTAATCTTTCATGCAACGTACGTAAGCATTGGAACGAGCCAGTTGTTCGAAGAGCTAAAGGTAAAGAAAATTTTCGAGACTCACAATTTCGAGGAAATCAAATTTCCATCCAAATTAATACACTTCTCAGCTGTTTTTTCTCCATCAAACAGGATCAGCGAGCTGGGTTTGTTTTCATCATTGAAGTGAAGAACTGAACGAAATGTT